GCGTGGTGACGGTGTTGGCGAAGAACAATCTCCGCAGGGCTTCGCCTAAGCACTACGGAAACTATGACGGAGAATAAACTAGAGGGGACGGGGTAGCCGGCACACGGCTTGGTGTTTCTTGATGTGTCTTTGGTGCTAGCCCTACCCCTCTATTTATATGTTGAGCCTTGGGGTCGAAACTTGGAGTAAAAGCCTCCACAAAGTCGGTTTCACCCGAAAGGCAAGAGTCCTTCTCAGACTCCAGGGCCAGATGCCAGGGTTCCCGGTGTCTGGACCCAGACGCCAGGGACCCTGGCGTCTGGCCCCTGGACTCCGCAAAACTTCCTTTTGCGCTTTCCAAAAACCTTGTGGGCTTTCCCCTTTGGCCCAAATAACATGTTCTCGTACCCAAACATTTCGGGAAACATCCGGAACCCCTTTCGGTGAATTCTGGAACCCTTTCGGAGATCAAACACTATTATCCCATATATCAAACTTTATCTCCGGACCATTCCGGAGTTCCTCGTCATGTCCATGATCTCATTCGGGACCCTGAACAACATTCGGTTACCAACATGCATAACTCATATAATACTATATCGTCAACGAAACGTTAAGCGTGCGGACCCTACGGGTTCGAGAACTATGTAGACATGACCGAGACACGTTTCCGGTCAATAACCAATAGCGGGACCTGGATGCCCATATTGGCTCCCACATATTCTACGAAGATCTTTATCGGTCAAACCGCATAACAACATACGTTGTTCCCTTTGTCATCTGTATGTTACTTACCCGAGATACGATCGTTGGTATCCAATACCTAGTTCAATCTTGTTACCGGCAAGTCTCTTTACTCGTTACGTAATGCATCATTCCGTAACTAACTCATTAGCTACATTGCTTGCAAGGCTTATAGTGATGTGCATTACCGAGAGGGCCCAGAGATACCTCTCCGACAATCGGAGTGACAAAACCTAATCTCGAAATATGCCAACCCAACATGTACCTTTGGAGACACCTATAGAGCTCCTTTATAATCACCCAGTTATGTTGTGATGTTTGGTAGCACGCAAAGTGTTCCTCCGGTAAAGGGGAGTTGCATAATCTCATAGTTACAGGAACATGTATAAGTCATGAAGAAAGCAATAGCAACATACTAAACGATCAAGTGCTAGGCTAACGGAATGGGTCAAGTCAATCACATCATTCTCCTAATGATGTGATCCCGTTAATCAAATGAAAACTCTTTTATCCATGGCTAGGAAACATAACCATCTTTGATAAACGAGCTAGTCAAGTAGAGGCATACTAGTGACACTATGTCTGTCTATGTATTCACACATGTATTATGTTTCCGGTTAATACAATTCTAGCATGAATAATAAACATTTATCATGATATAAGGAAATAAATAATAACTTTATTATTGCCTCTAGGGCATATTTCCTTCAAAACTTTCTTCGCGATCCAACTGATCTAGTACCGAACGTACGACACCTCCGCGTTTAGCACATGTTTAGCTCGGGGACGTCCTCCGCCTTCTTGATCTAGCAAGACGGCGAGGTATTAGATGAGTTCCGTCAGCACAACAGCGTGGTGGCGGTGATGGTGAAGTGATCTGCCCACGGCTTCGCCTAAGCACTACGAAAATATGACCGAGGGTGTAAACGATGAAGGGGGGGCGCCGCACACGGCTAACAATTGATCTGGTGTGTGCTAGGCGCCCCCTCCCACATATATATAGGTGGGAGGGAGGGAGGAGCAGGAAAAGGAGGCGCCCAAGTAGGAGGAATCCTACTTGGGGTCCCTCCCAAGCTGCGCCCCCCTTTCCTTATTTGGAGTGCGGGGAAAGGCAGGGGAGGGTGCCCCTACCCTTTTACTTTCTCCCATGAGAGCGAAAGGTGGGTGGGGCTATCCCTCCCCCTTTTCCTTCCCTAGGGCTGGCCAAACAAGGGAGGGGGCACACCAGCCCCCTTGTGGGCTGGTCTGTCCCCTCCTTTGGCTCATAAGGCCCATAACTTGTCGGGAGTGCCCGGAACCCCTTCCAGTGACCCGATTCATTCCCGGTACGTCCCGAAACACTTCCGATGTCCAAATACCATTGACCTATATATGAATCTTTACCTCTTGACCATTTTGAGACTCCTCGTCATGTCCGTGATCTCATCCGGTCACCAAAATACATAACTCATATAACACTATATCTTCAACGAACGTTAAGCGTGCGGACCCTACGGGTTCGAGAACTATGTAGAGACATGACCGAGACACCTCTCCGGTCAATAATCAATAGCGGAACCTGGATGCCCATATTGGCTCCTACATATTCTACGAAGATCTTTATCCGTCGAACTGTTATGACAAGATACGTAATTCCCTTTGTCCATCGGTATGTTACTTGCCCGAGATTTGATCGTCGGTATCTTCATACCTAGTTCAATCTCGTTACCGGCAAGTCTCTTTACTCGTTCCGTAATACATCACCTTGTGACTAACTCCTTAGTCATTTTCTTGCAAGCTTATGATGTGTACTACCGAGAGGGCCCAGAGATACCTCTCCGATACTCGGAGCGACAAATCCTAATCTCGATCTATGCCAACTCAACAAACACCTTTGGAAATTCTGTAGAGCATCTTTATGATCATCCAATTACGTTGTGACGTTTGATAGCACACAAGGTATTCCTCCGGTATCCAGGAGTTGCATAATCTCATAGTCGAAGGAATATGTATTTGACATGAAGAAAGCAATAGCAATAAACTGAACGATCATTATGCTAAGCTAACGGATGGGTCTTGATCTAATGATGTGACCCCGTTATCAAATGACAACACATGTCTATGGTTAGGAAACCTTAACCATCTTTGATCAACGAGCTAGTCTAGTAGAGGCTTACTAGGGACACGGTATTTGTTTATGTATTCACACATGTATTTAAGTTTTCGATCAATACAATTCTTGCATGAATAATAAAATAATATAAAATAATAACTTTATTATTGCCTCTAGGGCATATTTCCTTCATCTCCTACCTAATTCAGTAATGTTTTAGGTATAGAAATTTTCAGTAAAAAATAGCAATAGAAGAATAGAAAATATAAAAACTAGTAATAGAATAGAATAGAAAATATTAAAACTAGTACTCCCATACGACTGGGTGTACGTGCCCTGCTGGGTGTTCGTGTTGGACTGGGTGTATGTGCCCGACTGTGTGGACTCCGAGTCATCCACTTGCCCATCCTCGTAGCAGCCTCGGCTTCCGCCTCCGTCATGGATCATGTCAAACATCTATAGGTCCGCGTCGTCCTATGTCTGCTCGCCCGCTTGAGGCATACTGGCGAACAGCGTGCGGGCACCGAGTTGCTCCACCCCCGGCGTCCGCGACCGAACAAGGTACGATGATGCAAACTCCAAGAAAAGTAGCAGCACTGTGTTGACGTCGATAATGTAAGGACAGATGTCGGGAACTGCCTACTGAGCTGTTGTGCAGCGTAGATTATGGAGCCTTGTATTGCTTCAACCAAAACGACCTCTGCACGGACGACAATGGCAGCGGCGCCCCCGTCCTTGGCCCCAACCTGCACCACAACCGCCCCTGCATGTCCCTGCCACGACCACCACCTCCGCTAGCCTTCTGCTTCTCGAGTGGCGCCACCTTTGCCTTCTGAGCCGGCGATCTTGCCGTGTCACCGAGTTGATCTTGTGGGCGGTCACCTTCACCGGATCCTCGACCACTGTCTCCAGCAGCTTTTTGTACGGATCCTCCATGTTGCGGTGGCTGTGAAAAAGGGCGGGAATTGGGATGGAGAGCAGTGTGATGGAAGAGGATCGGGTTGACAAAGAGAGATTTTGCCGTGAAAATAGTGCCGCCAACTCCAAATGCATGGGCTCAGCCTCAGTTTTTGGTGGGCTGGGGGTGTCAACGAGGAAGAATGATTTTATCGGTATCGATGAGAAAGTGATTTTGTCGTTGGTAAAAATATTAACTCCTCAATTTTTTAGGTGAAGTGTTTTTTCCTTCTTCCAACGTTGACTTCCAAAACGAACACGGTATCTGTCCGGACAGTGATACGGGAGCCGGTCATCCAATCGCATCCCGTCGTCGAGGTCAGACCAATATGAAATTCAAATGCATATCACCCTGTAGCAACCGATCACAACCAAAACGAGACCGATGTTTATAGTTTTACTCTCTCCGTTCGGAATTACTTGTCTCGAAAATGGATGTATCTAGAACTAAATTACATCTAGATACATTCATTTTTGCGACAAGTAATTCCGAACAGAGGGAGTAGATGTTTGATCACAAAAATATCTCGGTCCGGCAGTCCCTGCAAAACATGCCTTGCTGGACCAGCTATCCAAAAATGTTGATGCCCTCCGTGGATCAAAAGTGCATCAACGGTCAATGAGTGGTCTGACGTAAGATAGGAAGCGCTTCCCTGTTTTTAGAGAGCAGCACAGTGCAGAATAAAGCTAAACCGTGCCTCAAACAGTAATGAGATCCAAGCCATTCGCAGCTTGGAGTAGCCGCAGCACCACTGCACCAGGCACTGGTTTCAGCTGCGGTCGTAAATTGCCATTAATGAGGCTACAGTATTCAGTAGACCCAGAAGAACCAAGTGCAACTGGGTCCAGAAGAATTGGTGCATGTCAAGCAGGCAACTTAATTCAGTCATCAAGCAGATACGGTTCAAAACTAGATGTATCGACACCGGCTGGAACAGCGAATGTCAAACCAAAATGGATGATACGAAGGATACCACGCTTAACAAAGCATATATTATTCAACCTTGATGGGAGAGGGTAACAAGCCATCTAAAGACGGTGCTCCTTACAAAGTTTCAACACAACGGTAACAAGCATACACGCAGAGAGGTGGGCTATGCTAGATTTTCTGTATACTCAGAGCGCGCAAGCTGGTAACGCCTGCTAGCGCTAGCACACAACTAAATATACTGCACCACCAATATATAGCTGCTTTGCATGTAGACTCTGATATGGAGCTGGCAGTTGCTCAGAAACCATGAATCTTGATGTGTTCCTTCTTCACAATGCCGGCCTGCGTCAGACACATATCATATTAGACATCTTCATCCATGTTTGTGAACTGCAACCATACCGAGCATAAGATGAAGAGAAAGATGTTTACCTGGACAAGGAAGTTTGAGACGTTCTTCCTCTGATCACCCTGGAGTTGAATGACCTGGAGTGGAAAAGAGCAGCAATGATCAGGACAACTAGCTTGCATGAGAAAATTGCGAAACAAATGGACATGATAAAGGACGAGTTTGCTTGTTGTTTCAACACACCTGTCCAAGTTCTGTGTCCTGGACAACTGTACCATTGCAGCAAAACTCTTTCTTGAGGTCTTTGAGGATCTTGCTGTAGCTGAACTCCTTCTTCAGACCCTGGACAGTGGTCAGGCTCTTGCGACCATTACGCTGCTGGATGCGTACATGAACGTAGTCTTTTGATCCGGCAGCTGCACCAGCGTCCCCAGCATTCGCCTCGGCAAAGGGGTCTGTATGTAGAAGCAAAATAAATAAGCAGGACACTCCAAACAATGCAAGCAATTTCAATGATAATTGGGATGGAAAACAACAGGCATACCAAAGGCAGTTGGGATCTGAACGTCAAGATCAGACATGAAATCTCCTGCTGAGACTGGCAAAAGCTGCACCAAGAACTGTACACAGTAAGAAAATGAATCATTAGGGCATGCAGTATAGAGAGGTGAATGACAGCTTCGAAATTTCTCATTTGTACAACCAAGCAGGCCATGGCTTTGACCACTGACTAAATAATTTGCATCAGAGGTACTTATTTCATACAGTTAAATTAAAGAAAGATAAAATCAAGATATCAGAGAGGTATTTCTATACCGAAACCAAGGAACAACAGTCAAAGCCAAACTGATGACAACACACTTACACCACAAGCAATCATCAATGTTCCAATTGGACCTAAATGATTATGGAGGAACTATTTCACAAAACTAGTGGAGCAACCTGCACGATTCGTGCGGCGAGACCACATGCTGTCTTCTACCATTCTTTACAGTTTGTTTAATGTTTATACATGTGATTTTTATCATCCTTTATGATTGTTGTTTTCTTCAAATTTTCTTAGGTAGTCCGGAGTCCGGACTGGAATTTCCTAAAAAGAGGTTTTCTTTCAACTTCAAGATCACAGCATGTCTTAATATGTACAGGCAAGTGCAGTGCTGGTCTCAAACATAATTTTGTTGTCCTGACAAATTTATCCCCTTCGCTCAAAAAGTTTTTTTTTCTTCGAAATGAAAATAGATGTATAGAGCTAATCATACTATGTTTGTACAGAAAAATAGCATCAGGATTGGAATCCCTAACCTTCTTTAAAAAGTGTATCATAGATATCGCAATCAATACCCGATTGTACAGTACATATAAGAACAGACGACCTTATCAATACGGGTCCAAAGAGAATGAGATCCAAGAATACCTACACGGATCGACCCTAAACGGCCTCAGAAAGAACCATGGAAGACGAACAGGATCGCAAGTCAAGATGAATCCATTATCATACAGATCCTCTCCATAGAAGGGGACCCTAATACATAACAACAACAGACCATAGAGATCAACCAAGAATCAGAGCAGGGGCATACCCTGGGAGGCGGTCGAGGAGGAAGAGATCAACCAAGATCTTTCCCGGGAGGATTTGGATCGCGGAGAGGCGCTGGTAGTGAGTCCTTGGTGTTCTTCCTCCTCTTTGGGTTTGATGCCTCCTATATAAAGACGAGGGAAGGAGGGGAATTTATAGACGGGCGGAGGAGGACGCCTCTGGGTTTCTTGCCCCCCTTTTCCTCTCCTCTCCTCTCGCCTCTTTTGGCCGCAATGCCTGCCCTTCTCCACCGTCAGTTGGCTGATTATTATTCGGGTTAGTTACTTTGTGGCAACCACTTTGTCGATGTTTGTGTGCCGAAGGTCGGAAATGGAGCACGAGGAAAACACCTGGTTGTTCTAAAACGGGCCAGAGAGTGTTGCTGCTTGCTTTCAACACTCCGAAATCAATTTGGTACAGTACTAAACTCAAAAACCCATTAATCAAGAAAAGGTGCACTTTTCAAAATTCAATCTAATTTCACGCTGGTCATGCTAGTGTAGAAGGGCACATGTGCCTTGCACTTATTCGACCGTGTAGGAGGGCCCCCCTTCCTAAGCCATCGAGGCAACCACGCTGCCCTCCTACACGGTAGGATAAGTGCAAGGCACATGTGCCCAAGAAAATGGGACGAGTCTACGTAGCGGCCGGCTGCTCGCTGGCATGCGCGAGCGGCCGGCCTAAAATAGAAATTCTTTTATCCGCTAGCGTCTGTTCTGCATAGACATGCATGTGTATAATTTTTGTCCGCTAGCGCATGTATCTTTTAGCATTTAATACATTCACATCGGTCACAATCAGTTGGAAAAAACAGATCACATATGCATTTGTTTCGGTTTTTAAATTTTCAAAAAGCTATATCTTTCAAACCGCGCGTCGGAATTAAGATCCGTTTTCACCGCTGGAATCCTCGCAACGTGCTCTTCAAAATTATATCCCGCATGGGGATGTTTCGACGAACTAGTCTTCCTGCCAACTAAACATCAATGTGTGTGCAACTAGACTAGATTGCCGCGCCAACTGGGCATATGTGTGTGTGCCAAAAAAGTCCTGTCAACTAAACATCAATGTGTGTGCAACTAGACTAGATTACCATGCCAACTGACCATATGTGTGTGCAACTAGTGTCCTGCCAACTAAACATCAGTGTGTGTGCAACTAGACTAAATTACAAGCCAACTAAGCATATGCGTGTGCAATTAGTCTTTCTGCCAACTAAACATTAATGTGTGTGCAACTAGACTACATTACAAGCCAACTAAATATCAATGTATGTGCAACTAGACTACATTACAAGCCAACTAAACATCAATGTGTGTGCGACTAGACTACATTACAAGAGGAGGTTGCACATCGACTTTCGTCGAGGCAATAGACTAGTCGCACATCAAAGTTGTCGTGGTTGCTAGGTTGTAACCTCATACAAAGGCGCAGCTCCAAACATTAGTTTTGGAAAAAAGTTGCACGATGTAGTAATAAAGTTGCACAATGCAGTAATAGAGTTGCACTATATAGCTCCAAAGTTGGCATCGAAAAAAATTTGTCAAAATATACCGACGCGGGATCTAGTTTCAAAGATCTCGTCGCGAGGATTTCAATGGTGAAAACAGATTTGAATTCCGACGCGCGGTTTGAAAGATATAGCTTTTTAAATTTTTAAAAACCCGAAATAAATGCAGATGGATCTGTCTTTCTTAAACTAAAGGAGCAATGTAAACGTATTTAATGCCACGCCTACATGCACTAGCAGACAAATAAATTACCACATGCATGCGCTGTGAGAGCCGGCCGCTCGGTTCGACCAAAAAGTGCGCGGCCACTTTTTAGATTTCAGGAAGAAAATGCGACTCGCAGACTCGCAGATAATCCCGACCACACACGACCGACATCCTGCGCCGGTGGCATTTCACGCCGGCCTGGACGCGGTCTACCGGCTATTAAAAACCAATTTTTTTAACAGAGAAAAAAACCCAATTAATCCAACAGCAATGCAAATCGCGTCAATTATCCCTCGGATCGGGGAACCGATCTCTAGGGGGGCCCGACGACGAGGCAACCAATCTCTCTAGACCGTCGCCTCGTCCCGCACGGACCTGATTCGAGATTCGTGACGGGAACGCGTCCCGTCCCGTGGGCGACCGCCACGCGGGGCCGACCCGCGTGCGGACCCCTCTGCCAGCGACCCGTCCCCGCCGGACTACAAAAGGCTTCACGCCACGCGCCGTCGCTGCGCATCGTGTTCCCCCGCGGGGTTGGCGTGGGGCGGACGCGCTGGGAGTGGGGACGGACGGACGGACGCGACAGGGACGCGGGGGCGCGCACCCCACGGCGTACGCACGTCGCCTTTCTCGTCTCGGCGTCTGGTTGGGTAGCACCGCGTAGTTGCGTCCGGCCCCCGGAAGCAAAAGTGAGCACGTACCGGCCGGCGCGCTGCTGCATGCGGACCCCGTGTGTGGGCGGCCGACTGACGAAGTGACGAGGCAGAATGCGCGTGGTGGTGGTGCCGCGCGGCGAAGGGACGGGATTCCCGTGAAATGCTGGCCGGACGGACCACGCGGCACGGTGGGCGTCGTTGGCTGGACCTGGGTGTTGCTGTGCTGGTGCTGTACTTTGCACACGACCGTCTACAGCTGCGGCGGGCCTGCGGCTGAGGCGGATGGATGCTGCCGACCCAACCATGCGCGGAACCTGTGCGTCGGCGCTGAGGGAGGGGTGTTTGTTCTTGTAAATGGTTTATTAACCGCACCGACGATATTCCAGATGCTCTCGCTCAATGATTGCGTGCGGTGGTCGTGGTAAATCTAGGGAATAAATTCCAAGACCAGGCCATGCCTCACGCCAAAGTAAGCACGCATCACATCTAGCTATGCGATTTGATCTTCGCCTTTGCTAACCTAAAGAGACGACATTGCTTATTGATTACTCCCTCTGTAAAGAAATATAAGAGTCTTTAGATCACTACGCTCTTATATTTCTTCACGGAGGAAGTACTTGTGTTCTTCGCTAAATGTTCACTGAATAAAAATACCCCAATAGCTGGCATACGTCAATCAAGGTGTTGTCTCCGGCGCATGATTCGGCTCTGGGAGGAACTCTTCAGTGAACGTTTCACCCTTTCCCTCGAGCGTCCGTTGTGGTGAGGTCCAGGTCGATCCCCGGTTGGCCCAGTTAATTGTTCTTTTCTAACTGTCCCAGACATCCCTAAAAAAATGCCCCGAACAAAAAATATCTTATAAAAAAGGTTGAGGAACATAAATTTACTATTGCGCTATACTTTACAAAGGGGTCATTTCTCTAAATTTATAAATGGTATAATCAAAATAAATGTGATGTGTTTATCTAGATTTTATCATGTCATGGTCTACATAATAAAAACTTCATGGTATAAAAAAATAAATTACCATGTTACGTACAATAAAAATACCATGGCCCAACTAATAAATTTCCCATGGTCTAAGTGAAAAAATTGCTATCGTCTAACTGAAAAAATTGACATGGTCTAAATAATGAAATTGTCATGCTACCTACAAAAAACTACCATGGTCTAATAAATAATTATAATGCCATGATACTTACAATAGTACTATCATGGTGTAATTAATAAAAATGTCATGTTCTAAAAAAATGAAATTGCCACGCTACCTATAATAAAATTGCATATGCATGTAAAGTTTAGAAATGTTCTCCTCTAAAGAACATGGCAACTTTCGGGCTTTGTAATGGGAACATGGCAAAAATTGTAAAAATGCACATGGCAAGTTTAGAAAAATTGTTCTCTAAAGAACATGACAACTTCTGGGATTTGTAGTGGGCACATGACCAAAAATTAGGGATTTTTGTTTTTTAATGTAGATTTTTCTGGATTTTTTTCCACATTTCAAATGAAAAATTGAATTCAAAACATTTATGCTTCAAACAATATAGCAAAGTTTAACCACATATGTTCACAGCCCGCTTCCAGCTCAAGTGGTCAGCCAACCCGTCCTTCCTTCATGATGTCTTGAGTTCGAGTCACCCTTCACACACTCTCAACTAGATAGTATTTCTAAAAAAAGTAATCTATTATGTAGTCTGCTATCTCCAAACAAGGTGAATACAAGCACGCATGCAAAACCATTGAAAAGGGTCAAGAGGTAACACATTTCGCCAAATTTTTTGTATTAAACCTGCCAAAAGAAGCAACGGAGAAAGGACTTCTCGGGTATCCTACAAATGTCATCGTCATTGTTGATCGACATCAGACTCAAAGGAGAGCCATAGCTCGGAAGGGCATTGCATGTCAATGAATAAGCGTGTCGGCGACA